TCACATCTCCTTGGCACATAGGAAGTATGAATCCAAGCCTGGCTGCTCAGATGCAGGTATGGGGATTCTTTTTTTATATTGAAATTACAGCTTACAAACACAGTGACTATTTCAAAATGTACTTTCGAGCACATAACTTCTAGTGGGAAAAAAAAATAGTCCCTAGAAATATCTTCACCATGAATGTACTCAAACAAACTCATACGTTTTTCTGGATCAATAAATCCTTTATTTGCAACACCAGAGTTGCAGCTGTAGAAAGGGACCCTTAAGAACACACATTTTCATACCTACAGCTGAGCTTTCTGATCAAATTACACGTGTACATGTGTGTGGATTTAAAATATGAGTTTAATACTAAAATCTTTGCAACTATATTCCTCTAAGTGTATAGAGCCATTTCCTTGTTTAAAGTGATCAAGTACTCCCTGAGTATTGTACTATCAACCAGTTCAAAATCTAAACTCACTTGCATTACAGCAGACTACATCTATCCCACTTACATGTCAAACAGCCTGGCAGATTTTAAATCAGTCCCACTAACTTGACTGAGGAGAGCAGGTGTTCAACACCTTTGCAAAATCAGGTAATTTCAGGGGTTGCTTAAAGCTGTAAACTCAAGGCTATGTTCAAACCCATTTAGGAAGTTTAGAAGAGCAAGACCTAGACCCCTGGTCTGTGAGACCCTGCCCTACAGCTTGGCCATTCACAGCACCATTCATCTCCCATGTGCATCCTCAGGCAGTGGATACAACAGTAATTACAGCATTAACTAGTAAAATACATGACAGAGTTTTGTGCCAAAACCAAGTTTGGTTGAAAATCAAAATTACCTTCAAGATCCTTACAAACTACTTCTTGGCAGTTCTATGCATGCCCTTCCAGAGGCATCCAGATTTCTTGATGGTGCTTCTAAGAAGAAGCTAATACAGGGCAAGTCAATAATCATCAAAACTGCTTCCCAAATTTAAAAATGGCATGTTACTGAAATCAATTGCTTTTGCAAAAATAGCTGAGGAAGAATGTGAATCTTTGGAAACTGAAAGACCAGTTTGCAAAATGCCTAAGCCAGTTTCTAATAATGTCCAAAAGCCATCTCAATTTATTTATTATTCTTGGCTCTTGAGTTCCAACCAGCAAATAATGTTCTATTCTTCACTCACAAAATGCACCCTTCATTATTCCCTGTTCAAGTTGACTCAAAAAACATGAGTCCTCCCATAGAAAATAAAATAGAGAAATTTTGTCATTTAATGTTTATGGCCCTTGACAAGCATCTCAATCAGTAATATTTTAAAGGAGTTCATCTTTCTTCAGTCCTAGCACTATTCTTTCTGCCTTCCCTTTCCACATTTTTCCTGCAAATGTGGTTCATTATTTTCTCCTTTATTATAAAAATGCAGAGGACATACCTGCTTTACTGCAGCTATCAATAGCTACAAATTCAGAAGGTAAAACCTGTGGGGTTTTGGTTTTTTCCCTAGCTTCAAATGGTAGCCAGCCAGAAGCAATGGTAGACCTAGAGAAGCCAAGAACACAAAATCCAGCGGGTATTGTGCCCAGGCTGGCTGGCACCAGCTCCGCACCGACCCTGAGACCTGAAGCTTTCTCTCCTCCCTCCAGACCCAAATTTGCCCGCAGGGAGACCGATGGACGTGGGAACCGCCATGACCTGCACATGACTCAATGAGCCCAGGAGCTGCAATCGGTCAGACCGCAGGCCCACGAGCCCGCGGAGGGCCCTTTCCGGGGCGCTCCCGGCCCTTCCCGCAGCCGCGGGTTCCACCCCACGCCGCCCGGGGCGCTCCCGGCCCAACGCGGGGCCCGCACCGCCCTCAGCGCCGCCGCCGCGGGGCGGGACCAAGCCGCACGGACCGGCCAATAGAAGCGCGGGCCGCCGCAGGGCTCAGCCAATCAGCGCCCGCGTTGGCAGCGCGGGCCGGGGCTGCGGGAGGGGGCGGTGGCGGGGCCCAGGACCCTCAGCCCGCCCCGCGGGAGCGGGAGAGCAGCGGGAGCGGGGATCTGCCCCCGCCGAGCCCTGAGCTCCGTCCCGAGGAGCGAGGGGCCCGCCGGAACCCCGGGGCTGCGGCTGCCGACCCGCCTGAAATGCTGCTTTCCCTGGCCCTGGTTGCATCCCGGGTTTCCGACACCGCCGGGAGGCGGTGAGGTTTCGGGAGAGCGTCGTCGCTCATCCCTGGCCTGACAGGGACAATAAAACAAAATAAATAAAAATTGAATAAAACAGCCCAAAATGTGGTAAAATTTAATAAAACAAAATTTAACTCGGGGTGAAATTAACCACGACACCAAGCAGGAGCAGGCAGGCCCCTGGCGCGGGGCGCGGCTCGCAAGGCTCGGGAGGCGGGAGCTCCGGCGGGTCCGCGCCGGTCACCGGGGCTAGCGCGCCCGCGCTGCAGGGTGCGGGTCCGCTAGGAACGCCGCAGGAATGGCCCCTAAAAGTGAATGTGGCAGAAGTTCTCCGCGCGTCTCCGCCTGCGCTTCGTACTTCGTATTTCGATTTAGCCGCCGCATAGCAATTTTAAAAAAAAATATATATATATATACATATATATATATACACATATACATATATGTATATATATACACACACATATATATCATATATATATATACTGTTTCCTCTTCTTTTTTTTTTTTTTTTTTTTTCCCTGGGCTTTAGTTATTTGAGGTTAGTTACATTTAGTTCAGTTTGGGTTTTTTTTCTTAACTCTGAGACTGATTATTATATATACAGACCATTAATTCCCACAAATTGACTCTCTGGAGTGCTTTTTTTTTTTTTTTTTTTTTTTTTTTACTAAGGTGGCCCAAATACTACGATTTGATGGAACACTTCTATTAAAACTCACAAACTCTACAGACATGAAGATATTTCCCGCATCACAGTTGAATTATTATACCCTTTCCACGACCTCACAGCACACGATGCATCCCTCCCCAAAAACATCTCTACGGTGGGTGCCTTCCTTTGGGAAAGCAGCAGAAAAATATTTTGAAATAAAGAACAGGTAGGAGATATTCCAGGTCCTGCTGACGGTGCTGTGAATGACAACAGGATTTTCAACTCTGCCAAGAGATTAAAAAGATCCCCCTCTTTGCAGGAGAGGGGTTTTCCTTTTATTTTCATGTCAGAAAGACAACTTGCGTCTTGGGATAAAACGAATCGAGTAAGTGGGTGCACGAGCCCAAATGGGGGGGGGGGACAAGAATAAAAAAAAAAGGAAAAAAAAGCTGTCAAACAAATAACGCTACAGCATCAAACCTTTAAAGGAAATTCAAGACCGGCATTTGAATTCCCTCTTCCTATTGCTGTCAAGAGCGGTATAGCCTTAAGTGAGCAAACGAAGGATCAGTTTTGTGTCTGAAATTCTCGCAGATACTCAAAGTAATCTGTTTGTATTTTACACTGCATCGCCTACACCCCGGACTGAAATAAGGCTCGATCCTGAGAACTCAGAGTCTTCGAAGTGTATCGAGCAATCCAAGAGATTTACCGTCAGCTTCAGAGTTGTGAGCTACGCCAAACCAAAAAGCGGGGCTCCCTCCTGACTGCCTGCCCGAGGGCACACGGAAAGCCCCAGCTCGGACCTGCGCGGGCAGACCCGCACAGCTGGCCGGTCACTGTCGGCAGTGTTGCATCCTTTTGCCTGGTGAGTTGGAGGAGCTGCCAAGGGAAACAGGATTTTCTGACAGTCTTTTTTTTTTTTTTTTTAAGCTGAACTCGTTTCAGGTTTTTCATACCAAAGAATAAGAAGATTTTTCCCTCAAATAAAAGTAACAACGATTCTAAAGGAGAGTGTCTGCAAAAGTGGCACGTTTGACCGAGTGCAAACAGATAAAAACAGACTAATAATGTCCAGCCTTTAACAGCTCTGCCTTCGCCCTGGGCAAAACAAAATAGGGGGAAAAAAATCGAAAATCCTAAGCATAGAGAAGAATAGATTGGATTTGGGATTTTTGCCCCTTGGTTTTGCTAAGTGAGAGAAGGAGAATGCACAGGCGACATATTCAGAGGCAAACTGTTTAGAGCTTGACCCAAAGACGCTGTATACAGATGGGTCTGAGCTTCCAATCATCAGAAGCATTGTAAAGAAACACGAGATCCTGCTGACAGCACCTCAAGGAACAACTAGGCAAACAGTAGTTTGTCAGTAACTTTATTTCTTTTTTTAAAAAAATCGCATGACAAACTGGAACCAAGACCAAAATACTGTATCCACTGTACATCGTTCATTAGAAAACAAACATACACCACATTTGTATTCTACCAAACAGAGAGTGTATTTCCTTTAAAATTATATAGTGCGTGCTTTTAAAGTCATGCTTTTCAATATTTATTTTACATTTGTTACTCAAATATTATCTGCTATAAATAATTGCAACTTGATCAAATGGTGCACCTGTTATGCGAACCTCTTCCATGCTGCAAGAGTGGCATTTTGTTGTCTGCTTTTTTCTGTCTTTCCAAAAAAAGCTGTTGGTATTGCTTTATTAGGACCCAAGCAAGCACGGGTGAAGTGTCAAATAAAGTGTACAGGTGCCAGAGGCGCTTGCAGACCCGGGTCTGCTGCTGAGCCCCACGGCTCAGACGGCTGGTACGAGTGATGGGAGAGCGCATAGAAAAAAAATCGTTTCCAAAAGGCACAATTTTCTCGACACAAAGGTACAATAAAAATATATGGCCACTGAAATGCAGGCTCCTATCGGGATGCGGTGCCTGTCCAGCGGGATCCCAGGCCCGCCAGGGTTTCGCCCTCCCGCCCCTGTCCGGGCACCGCAGCTGCAGCGCCGGGGGCGACGCAATGGAAGGATCCCGGGGACGCCCGCGCACCCCTGCCCGCCCCGCCGGCGGCTCTGCCCGCCAGCCCGCGCTCCTGCGCGACACGGCATCCCGTGGGACCGCCCCGGGAGCCCAGAGTAGTGGGAGGGGGGGCTGCAGCGCTCCCCTCACCCCCGCCCCGCCCCGGCCGTCTCCCGCATCACTGCTCGCGGTGCCGGCTGCCGCTCTCCGGGTCGCTCTGGTCGTCGGTGAAGCAGACGTCCACATCGCTCTCGTTATCAGTCTTTTGCTCCTGCTCGGGCTGCGCATAGCCAGAGTCACTCTTGTCCTCGGCCGCCTTGCCGAGGCTCTGCCCCGGGTGCCGGGATTTGACGTGCCGCTCCAGGTCGCGGCGTCGCACCAGCACCTTGCCGCAGTACTCGCAGCGGTAGGGCGTGTTGCCCTCGGCGTGCAGGCGGATGTGTTTGTTGAGATTGCTGGGGTCCCCGAAGGGCCGCAGGCAGACCTTGCACTTAAGCGGCTTGTAGCCGGTGTGAGTCCGCATGTGGATCTTCAGCCCGTACTTGCGGGAGTACAGCTTCCCGCAGTACAGGCACAGGTGCCCGGTCTTGGGTTTCCCTCCGGCCGCCCCGGCCGCCCCCGCCGGCAGCGCCTCCAGCCTCCCTCGGCCTTTCTCGGCCGCCAGCTCGGAGAGCTGCTGCGTGTGCATGGCGATCTCCCGGTCGATGCTGGCCAGCGAGCCCAGCTCTGCGGCGTGCAGACCCGCCGCCGGCCCCGCGAAGTACGACACCGACTCAGGGTACTTCAGGAGGCCGCCGAGGTGCAGCTTCAGCGGGTAGTAGGGCGCTGCCCCATAGAGCAGCTCCCCGTTGTAGACGGTGAGCGGCATCACCGGCAGCCCGCACTCCCCCGCGTACGCCTTCAGCCCCTCGAAGGGCGGCAGCGCGAAGCGCTCCAGGGCCCCGCCGGGCAGCGGCGGGTAGCGGGCGGGCGGCAGAGCGGCCGCGGGCAGCCCCCGCTCCACCTGCCGGAAGGCCGAGGCCTCCTCCAGCGGCGACAGCAGCGGGAAGGCGCGCAGCCCGCCGCCGCAAGCCAGCCCCGCCGCCGCCGCCTGCGGGGCGGCCTCACCCGGCAGCGCTCCGCACTTAGGCGGCGCCTCGGCGGCGGCGCGTCCCGCCTTCAGTCCCCCCAGCAGTTTGGAGAAGCCGAGGGCGGCGGCGCCCCGCGCCTCTTCCCGCAGCGACCCGGCGGGGCGGAAGGCCGAGCGCGCCCCGGGGCACAGCGCCAGCCCGTTACCGCCCGCCGGCCCCAGCAGCGGCCCCGGCCCGCGGGCGGCCCCCACGCTCATGTCCAGGGCGCGCTCCTGCTCCTCCTTGCCCGCCGTCCGCTTTGGCAGCGCCGGCTTGGCGAGCGGCGGGGAGGCGACGACGGCCTCCCGCTTGACGGCCTCCCGGGGGCCGCAGCCGGGCGGCGGGTGGCCGCGCAGTGAGGCGGCCGGCAGCTCCTTGGGGGGCAGGCCGAAGGCGGTGGCGGCGGGCCGGCCGTGGTCGTGATGGAGGAAGGGCCGGCCGTGGCTCAGAGCGCAGTGGAAGTGGACGTGGGCCTTGAGGCTGTTGGGGTATTTGAAGGTCCTCCAGCAGTACCAGCAGATGTACCTCTCCTCCCCTGCGGAGGCAAGAGGAGGTACCCGTCAGCGGCGGCCGCGCATCCCCGCGCTTCCCCGGGCATCCCCGCGCTCCCTCCACCTCGTCCCGCCCCCGCCATGCTGTGCCGCGGAGCGGTGCGGGCGCTACGCGGTCCGGGCTGAGCTCCCTCGAGCGGGGCGCCGTAGGGCCGGGGGGAGCAGCTGCTGCCGCGAGTCGTCTGTCGGGGGGCCCATCTGTTGGCGTTTGCAGAGGAGGTAGCGTATGTCAGGGAGTCGGCTGCACCGAACAAAGGCCAATCTAATGATCGTGAGCCCCTCATTACGCGGCGAGACAATATCCGATATGTATGGGCCATATGTAATCGTTCCCTTTCAGAGGACAATGCCCTTTGTACCCCGTCCCATTTCGACTTCTCTCAAGCGGAACAGACCTCGGTGGCCGCGGCTGTGGTGGCTGCCCGACACCGCAGAGGCTCAGACTCTGCTTTCCCCCTCCTGCCTTGCTTGCCAGGAGAGTACTCCCAAAGAGGAGCACCTCCCCAGCCCCGACAGTAAACGCCGCCACCTGTCTGTCTAGAATTCCTTCCTTCCTTCCTTCCTCTCCCCACTTTCCCCTTTCCTTTCTCCTTCCTCTCCTCCTTCTCTCCTCTCTTCTTTTTTTCTGTCTCTTTGTACCCATCTTTCTCTCTCTCGTTTCTCCCAGTCACCATACTACGCTGGAAAGACCCTGAATTTCTCTTTCGGCTCTTGCCCATCCTGACCGTCTCCAGCTGACCCTCATCCCTCAGTTTCATGCACCGAAACACCTAAGGTGAGGCCAAGAGCCGCACGGAAATGAGAGCCCGCTCCAGGCCTGGGGCCAGCTCTTCACGTTTCAGGGAATCCCGTGGGGGGTGACAGGGGTGAGACCTTGCATCGTGCCCCTCGTCTGTCGGGGCACCCGGGGAGGGCGGGTCGCCGTGGTGGATGCGATGGCCGTGACCCAGCCTCCCTGTCACCGGCTTTTGGGGGGGATCAGTCGATGTCTGCTGCGGGTGGAAAACGGAATCTTCGCTCTCCGCGGAAACTCGTGTGCGAGCTCGCGTGGAAGCATCGCACGCCGTTGCCTGTATCTCGCCGCGTGTGTGCTCGCCGCCTTTCCTCGCTAGCCGTGGAGAGGCGGTCCCGGGATCTGCAGCATTGTGAAGGCGCTGGGGGCTGGTTTTCGCCCCGTCGAGGAGGGCGAGAAACGAGACTGTGTCTGCCCGGGCCCCAGAGAGGCAGCGGCCACGGGAGGAGGAACCACGGTGGCAATCCCACTGCCGTGCATGGCAAAAAGGGTAAAGGATGGAAAGGAATACAGCCACGGATCGCCACGGACTCCCTTCCGCTATCTTCGTTTGCCTGTGCAGGTCTCTACAGCAGCGCGGGTGTCCTCGGCAAAAGATGGTCGGGACAGGCTCCCGATCGCCACCGAGCCCAGCTCGGCGCTTCCCCGGCTCAGCTCCAGTTCAACAAGAACGGGTCCAGGGAAAATATATTAAAATAAAGGGGTCAAACACAGAAAAATTCCAAATTTTTGATTTAGTTTGCTTTTTGCGTTTTGTGTTTAAAAAAAACTAAACAAAACTCTCTGAATTTCTTCCGCTACCTCTTTTCGGTTGGTGGGGGTTTGGACTTTAGTTTGATTTTTCGGCTTTTTTTTTTCAGCATATGGTCATGAAAAGAAGAGCACTCCAGCATGCTGATATACTTTTTCTGAGTCTGTATTAATCAGTCTGGAAACTGTGGGACTGAAGACACAGCAGATCCGTAGGGCCACTTTGCAAATCAGCCTTGCTTCGACGGGGCGAGGAAGACGCCGCACGCTGGGAGCCTCTTGCAGACCTGAGCTCTCTTTCATTTTTCCCCCGAGTAGCACTGGTACCCATCCGCAGCAAGGGCTGCTGGACAGGAACGGGGCGCAACACAGCCGCGAGTCCTCCTTGCTACCGAAACTTCGCCAGGCTTTTCGAGGGGGTGACCCTCGGCAGATCCATGGCCTCACTGCCTTTCGACGTGGCGAGGACAGAAATGTGACCACGAGTTTATTTTCCGGGTGTACTTTTCGTACAAGGAGGGATTTGGGCTCTTGCACACAGCCCGATGTGATAGGATAGCCAGAGCCTGGCCTTCCCGCAGCCATCCCTTCGGGCCGGACCCTGGTCACCTTGAGGAGCGACCAGCCGTGACGGGGGCAGGGGACAGCTCCTGCCCGGATCGTGCACTCGCTCCCTTCCCGGGGACACTGCCAAGCTGAAGGATCTTCTGGGTCAAGCAGGAGCGGCTGGGGTTCCCTCATCTCCCGCGGAGCGGGCTCAGCCCGAGGGGAGTGCCCAGAGGCAGCTGCCGCCACCGACGCCCCAGGGAGCGCCCGGACCCAGGAGCAGCGGAAGGGGGTGGCCGCCGACAGAGAAGCCCGACAAGTGAACGCTGAAGTGTTCCGCCTTTTTTTCTCTGGCCTTTTTTTTTTTTTTTTTTTTTTAATGTGCTGCCACCTTATCATTTTGTTAACACCGGTGTAATTCCAGCTAAAATTAGGTTTGCGGATTGAAACAAGCCGTCCCAGACGGGTGTCTACCCCTTCCCAACATCTTTGCCTATTCTGATCTCCGTGTGATTTGACGCCAACTTAACCTTTTACCTAACGTATTCTAATTTACAAGGACTGCCCAGTACTGTCCAGTTTTGGCTTGACTGTGTGATTCTACCCGCAAGAGAACCTGAAAAGAGTCTCTGAAACTCTGAGGACGGAAGGTAAACCCGATGTTTTGAGAAACAGCATCGAGCTGAACAGTGAGCTGAACTGAGCTGCCTCGCATATCAACTATAGCGATGTTTCACAGAAATCCCATTTGCCTATCAAAGAATCATTAAATCGGGCCGATTAGGGAACAACTCGACGCACGGGGGCCTTTCCATAGGCTGCCGAGTTAATAGATCACCCTTTAAATGTAAGCAGATGGAGCCTTAGTTTAAAGGATGCTGGGTTAAATTCACGGCAGCTGTACTGGCATTTATTTTTCTGAGGGCCCAGGTTTGCCTACCGCAGTTTTAGTTCCCGTCAACGGTGTCAGTTAAAGAGGGTTTGTTTAGTTTCATTTAATTTGGTTGCTCTGAAATGAGTGCCCGCATCTGTACCTTTCTCGTCGTGCGTCGGCGTGGCTGTGACGGGGATGTCAAACCACTGCGCCAGAGGATTGGAGTACCAGACGGTAAGCTCCTCTCCCGGCTGGACATCTCTCAGCGCCCGGTAGAAAATCTGGAGAGGGAAGAAAGGAAACTTCTTCAGGAGGCTTGAGAGGGGAGGCAGGTGGCGAAGAGAGGTGCCATGCCAGCCCGGAACCGCGAGTGGGGTACCTGTCCTCCTGGCAGATCCGCAACAGCCTCCAGTGTCTGCTCTTGGGAGTTTCGGGCAGCTCGGATTAACCCTATCCACTCCAGAGCTGAGCTCCCGGCTTCATCCACTAATTCCCCTCTGACCATCCGCACCTGGAAAACAGGCGGCACTGCTGTCATTTTCACGTGAAACGACCGGCAAAAAGAGCAAAAAGCTTACCCGTCCCTCTGCCTGCCTGCCCGCTCTGCCTGGCCCGTCGAGCTGCATCCCCACAGTAGGCAGGGGGCTGAACATCGCAGCTGTAAGCAGCAGCGAGAGCATCTCCTTTTGCCGCCTGTTTAACGCTGCCATCCTCACCCACCTTTGGGTAGGACAATCCCCGGCTCGCAGGTGCCTTGGCAGAGATGCGGCTGCCCTAGAGGTGGTTGCAGCTCCGCAGCATAAGGATGGAAGAACCCGTGCCCGGAGAGGGTAAACGGGATTTTTCCCTTGGGTAGCATTGATCCAAACGCACCTTTGTCCAGTTGAAGCTGTTACATTTCCCTTAAAGCTATATTAAATACCCAGGTACGATTTTTAATTTTTTTTTTCTCTAAGTCCGTGCAAAACCATTGCGACATGCAGGACTTGTCGAGAGATGGGGAGGGGGAAAGGAGAGACGATTCTGCTTAGCTACAAAGTCCCTGTAGCCCCATACTTCATAATCTGCTTGCCCATACAAAGAGAAAATGAAGTGCCCATTCCCTGAATGACCGTGCAATAAAAGTCATCGGAACAAAGCAGTCTAAAGCGAGAAACCAAGGGAGCCAGATGAGAAATAAATTTGAGTGGGCTGGCAGAGCGTTTAAAAACAATTAAAGTGCATTAAAAATCAGAGCGGAACGCGTGAGCCGCGGCTGCCCGGGGGGCGAAAGGAGGGGTCTCATCCGCAGCCCCCTGAAGAGCCTGATGGACGGGGCGAGAGCCTTTCACCGCCTCCTCCTCGCTCCTTCGCTCGGACACGGACTGACCCCGGCAGCCGTGTGGCCGTCATCCCTCCCGCTCCGGCTGTGCGGGTTGGTTGCGGCTCCAGGGGAGCGGGTCCCCCCGAGGCTCTGGGGGAAGGTCGAGCTGCCCTGGGCTGCCCCGACACCTGCGACCTGCACCCCGGCTCTGTCTCCGGGGTAGCCCCGGTCCTCTCGCCCCACACTCCCTTCAGGCCCAAGCCAAAGTACTCGCGGCCGGGAAGAGGGATTGGGGGGCACGAACCCGAGCCAAATACAGAAATAAATCGGTGCGTCTGCCTCTGCCCTGCTCCTTCCCGGGACAAAACCCGGGGTCTGTGACTGCCTCATGCCCTCGCCTCGCCGGGGCTCCAGGAGCGAGGAGCCGGCCGTGGCAGGTCCCGGCTCTGCCAAGGAAAGGGGCAATGCCCCAGTGAGCGGAGCCCCGGGGGGCGGGGGCTGGGTGGCCGGACCAGGGGCCTCCGACATCGGGCACGGAGCTCAGGCGACGCTTCCAGCACGTCTCTGTCCAAGGCGGGGGAGCGTCCACTCCTCCGGGAGAGCCCCCGTGTCCTCTGTCCTCGCCCCGGAGGTCGGTCGGGCTGGGGGCCCCGGCCGTGGGAGGAGGGGGAGAGGGCACGAGCGGGCAGGCTTTCCTGGCAAAACCACGGGGACACATCTCAGGACGTTCTGGAAATGCTTCCCTTTGCTTTCCTGGCTCTCTCTAAGAAGGAAGGATCGAAGAGAGACGGGGAAGAGCAGCCTCTTCTCCCAAAGGCGGCTTCCCCCGAGTCAACGAATAATCAAAGTCCAGCGGTGCAGGAGGGACCGTAGGAAAATACCTTTTTTTTGGGTCCTGGCTCCTTGCGGTCTGACAGGTACTTGCCCAGTTTGAAGGTGCCCGGCACAGGACCCAGGCGCAGCCCAGCCGGGATGCAGCTCTCCGCGCTGACGCTGATGGCCGGAGCCCTGCTGGTTTGCATCGCTGCCGCTGGGTGTGAGCGCTCGGGAACCCCAACTACTTAAGGGGGCCGGAGTGACAGCGGCAGGCGGCGGGAGGATGAGCACAGGCGTATCTCCGCCCGCAGAGTGACGCGGCGCTGTGTGGACGCCGGCTTTTCAACGGGAGCAGGAGGGGTACCCCTTGGCAGGGGGATGCTCTGGGGCGCAGAGTTTGGTGAGAGAGTTTGGCTCCTCGAGCAGCTGCGGAGTCCCATCCAAGAGGGTCACATGGAGCCTTTCCCTAACCCTCCTGCATAATCAGGCGGAGTGAATGGCTGGCAGACAATGGGCCAGGCGACCTTCCCATTCCTAAAAATCCAATTTGTCAAGGGCAAAGAAAAGGCGCTGGTGAATCAAAGGTCTGGAGGGACCATTAATCCTCAGCATGGGGTATTGTCCCCGAGACAGTTACGATATTTTAAGTGACAAATCCACTGTATAATTTCTCCATAAATTTTACTTCCTTTTATTGTTCCTCGACAAACCAGTTTTGGAAAATAAGTGACTATTTTAAGTCTACTTGGCTGAGCCTTTTGAGGTTTAATATACTTCAAAGATTTTTAATTCTCTTCCCTTGGCTTTATTGTAAAGGAGATTAAACAAAGAGATGGGGAATGTTTTGAGGACTTGTTAACTTCTATTGATTCCCGGCGTGTGCCATACAGAAATTGGGCAGGTACTTGATGGGAAAACACCAGAAAATACCTACACTTTTTTTTTAAAGAACGACCATATTACCATTTCAGTGGTTTGGTTTCAGGCCAGTAATCTGTTTCAGAAGAGCTTTGATCCTTAAGGAGGATGAATAGCACAAAATATGAGCCGCCGTAGCCCGTGTAAAACACAAACCGCTGCACCTGCGAGCGCTGGGGAAGCTGCGTCTGTAGTGCGTGCGATTAAGAAATAGAGACAGGAGGAAATAGAGACATACAACCACCAGGAAACAGGCAGTCCCGGCCAGCAGATAACACAGATATCTAACAGTGTGCAGCTGGATTCCTCCTTTAATACATCCACAAGTTCCTTGCCCACACACTAAATCTCTTGCACAGAAACCGCTTTAGGACGTGGTACCTGCAAAAAGCAACCGTAAATAAAGGCAGAACGAAGATATTTGAATAGAGTGTGCGCCTATGTCCCCCCTCTTCATATAAAAATTTTAATTAAGACACAACGAGGTGCTAGGATTAAGTCATCTTATAATTCAGGCTGGATAAATGTCCCAGGAATTTTCCAGGAGCTGAAAAGGAAAGGTCCACGACTTTTTTCCTTAAGTGCATGCAACAGTTCAGATGTGCCTGTCAGACCAAGAGGGACACTAAAAAATTCAATTTTCCACTTTCGCTTTTATTCTCCTATCTAATTCCTGCTGGCGGGTTTTCTCTGCTCCATGCCTCATAACACTCCAAAAAGAAGATTTCTAAACCTTTCTGCTTTGGAGAAGTTGCAAAGTTGCAATGAGACTTTATTCACTGCTTTCGGAAACAATGGCAGAGATGAAGCCTTTTTTTTTTTTTTTTTTCTCTTCTCCCGGGGCGTTTTTGTAGTAGTCAGCCCTAATAAATTTCAAAAGGAAAGCAAAAAAGCTACGCTTAGAGGTACATCTGCCAACAGATGCCAGGTAACTGAGCGGGCTCTTCTCAAGTAACCCGCTTTCTGCAAGATAGACCTTGGCACGTCGCTTTCGATGCGATTGTGTGTGGGAGCTTTACTCTGGATTTATTCGCCGCCGTCACGCGTGGCACAGTGAGAGCAAAGGCTACAGGGATGCGCACGGGGAACGAGAGCGATTTTGAACCGGCACCTCTCACCAGCCGGCGGTCGCAAAATTCTTCTTTCCTCTCTCCCTTCACCGCGCCGGAAAGCACTGAAAGCTCAGCCCGGCAAGTCTGAGCTGCTGCGATGGTATTTGCCCTCGATGGCCCGTTCGCCGCGGCAATGCGCTGCCAGCCCGCCCGGTGCCGGCCGGCCGCCTTCCCGGGGCACCGGCGGCCGCTGCCACAGCCGGGGCGAGCCCTGAAGTGTCCGCGCCTCGGCAGAGCGGCGGGAGCGCGGGGCTGCTCGGTGCGGCCCGTCCCGCCCTTGGCGCTGCCCGCGGGAGCGGGGGAGGCGCGCAGCTTCCCCGGACGGGCGGCACCGGGAAGGGACGGGGACAAGGACGGGACGGGGCTCTGCCACCGCCCGCTCCGAGGGCTCCTGGTCGGCACGGAGCCCGCGTAGGCTGTGAGTGTGTTTTTAGTAATGGTCCGCATTGGTGCCGCGCGAGATAGATGTCGCGCCTGCCCCACCCCGTGCCTTCCCCCTGCAGCATCAGCGGCCATCGATCGCATCTCTCCGGGGTGCAACGCCAGGGACTGTCCCGGGAGCAAGGGTGGGTTCGTTTTCACTTCGGCAGGGCTGGGAAGAGGAGGGAGGAGAGGATGTGGGGAACTGAAGATGACCCCTTTGATCAGCGGCATGAATGGGGGAAAAAGGATAAACAAGAAGTTGAGAGCAATAAATTTAAGCCATGAACATGTCCCTGTAACCTCTGGCCTGGCCACTCGAGGATGAGACCGGCTTGAAATTCCACGAGCCGCAGAGGTAGAGAGAGAGCCTTTAAGGCGACCAAGGTACCCTACTGCTCCGCCTCGGGAGCCGCTCCCTCCCAGGCCTTAATGAGTCAAAAAGCGTGAACGACACGCGAACAATTTTATCAATAGGACCATGTAAAGGCCGACTGTGAGGAAAGTTATTTATTAATATAGCCGATTGTGGCTGGTTCCCATCCACTCAGAAAAGAAAAGCCCTTGCTCTGGAAGCATTCACACCAGTTCTCCAATTTTTATTCTGTCCTGTGGCTCAAAGTTGAAGTTCCCCAAGTGAAATAAATTGTCCACAAAAGAGGAAAGGAACCACATTTTCTTTTATTTTTCCTTCCCTAAAAAGGAAGGGTGAAACCGATCTAATGTGCCCACTGGAGCAAGATGCAGCATGAAAGGCCGGGTGTTAAAAGTAAAAGCAGCCTTTGGAGCAAATGGGATGGAAAATTAAATGAAATTAAATAGCTTGAACGACCGTATTGTCCCTTATTAAAAAGACACATTAATTACATGGTTTCAGCTTTATTCAAAGACAATGTTTAGACTCAATCAAAACATTCCACTATCGCTCTTTATATACTTAAACCGGGCTACTAGAGGCACCATTAAAGAGAGATCACTTTTGCCCAGAGATGCGATGAAAGTTATTTTCCTTGGCGGCCCTTATTTATGCCCACCGCTGAACTGCCGGTGCCCCTGAGTAACACTTTGGCACACTGTTCTCCCTGATTTAACAGGTTGCCCCATAATGAGGCATGAATGTTAAGGAACAACAGTCATCCAAAGAGGCACAGTTGCAGAGAGCAATGTCCCACCAGGGAGCTCCATTCAAACCATCAAACCGCTCCGGCACAGAGAAGGTTCAACACCACATTCAGACCAGCATGAATGCCTGTATACAGGGCCCGGCTCATTATGCCGCAGAGCATCGCAGCGGAGGCTGGAACAAAATGCTGCAAGTTCATTCAGCAGGCCATACTCCGGCGGGGCGGCCCAGCCGGCGGCTCCCGGGGTGACCTTTTTCCCAAATGGCTTTGCCCCGACAGGGCTGCCCTTCCCCGGGCTGCGGGACAGGACGGTCCGAGGCTCCCGTCCCTGCCTGAGGAGGCCGCGAGGCTCCGCGACAGGTGGATAGGGATGCAAGGCACGGGGCGGAGGGCAGAGGGGAGGCTTGCTGAGACCCTGAAACGAGGAAATCCACTTTAAACCGAAGAGACCAATATGGTCCGAACGTTTCTTTCTTTCGCCCTTCCCTTCCCTTCCCTTCCCCCCTCTGTCTCTTTTGCAATTTCCGAGTATCTTTTCCTCTATCTCGTTCACCTTCTCTAGTCTGAGCCGCTCTTTCTCAAACCCCGTTCTCTCTACCGCCCTTTCATCTCTTCTCTTCCTTCCCCTCACTTTCATTCCTCCCCGGTGACACCGCCCGCAGCAGCCGCTGCCGCCCCGCCCCGCCGCGGCGCAGGCCGAGCGGCTGCGGCCGGGCCGTCGGCCCCCAACCAGCTGTGCGGTGCAGACGAGATGCGGGTGGGATATTAAAGCAGCTTTTGAATAGTAATTCAGGTTCTATGGGAATCCGGGCAGATGACAGGAGCTCGATTTGGTATTCGTATTGTTAATCGCGAGCGTCAGCCCAGATCGGATCCAAACACGTTTTGTGCTCGTTAAAAATTCCAGTGTAGGGGCTGAGATTTTTTTTCTTTTTAGCCTAACTTCAATTGGAGGCGAAGCTTGCCGCATAAAGTATTCAAAGTCTGTCTAAAGTTGCCTTTTAACCGTACTCCCCTTCTCCCGCAACCCCCACCGTATCTCTTGGTTCTTTCGGTTGACATGGTGCAAATAAAAGTCAGTAAACTTGTTGCTGAATTGCAATGTTTCGGTGTACCTTATAAATTCATACCTTTTCTCCCTCGATCGCCTCAGAATGAGCCCCTGCCTCAATTCGATTTTCCTTGCTGTTGGGCACATTTAGGAGAAAGTCTATTTGTGAAGTTCATTTCTAGGCAAATGTATTCAAGAGCTGATTGGGATGAATAGGACCGTGTGTCAGCCGCCCCTAATTGGGATTAAAGCACTTCGGACCATATGCAGAGAGTGACAGAAATTCTCAGGTTTCATTGTGCTCAGACTTCCACCCGCCTGGACACTCCCCCTGGAAAAGGGGGATTTACAAAGATTTCAGGGAGAAACTGAGGAAATAAAGGAGACTCAGAAAATGACCAGTCCAATGTGTCTCTGCGGGGCTGCCAGCGTGGCAACTGCCGGGGACAAGGACTGGCAGTGGTGGGCAGTGGCGAGAGCCCTGGCCCCGGCTTTCCCTTCGGAGGGAAGGGTAGCAAGCCTCAGGTTTCTCGTGCCCAGCTTGATTTCGGGTTTAGAAACACCGGGGACTACATGGGATTGAAAAACCCCATGAAAAAACTTCCTTGGGTGATGCTAGCCGAATGAAAAGTCTCCCAGAGAGGACGGGAGGCAGAGAGATTAAATGCAAATCTCAGGCAGACACCACTGCCTGCTCAGGCCAGGCTGACATCAGGGAAATGAGGGGTTTTTTTTGGGATGCCGTCCTGCTGCAACAGGGATGGCCGAGGGTTGTATTCCCTGCTGGGGCCTGCCTGATCTAATAGAAGATGCCACTGCCAAGACTGGATTATCTTTAAAGGTTCCTTCCAACTCAAACCACTCCGTCAGTCTGTATTTTTAACCCAAAGCTGCTTCACGTTCATGTCCACCTATTGCCCCGCCTGTTCGTCTGTCTGTCCGTCTGCATGTCAGCCGTGCCCTCGCAGCCCCAGCACCTCAAAGCATCCCGCCGCTGCTGCAGGCTCTGTGCTTGTGGGGCCACAGCGAGAGGCAACCTCCAAAGCTCAGGTCTGGCCTCCACACTGGGACTATCCCGTGTGCGAGGTCGTCGGGGTGCAGTAGCCCAAAACATGGTGGGAAAATGAATAATTAGGTGAGCGATTTCTAAACTCTACAGTCAGTTATCAGAAAGACGATGTTTATTCCCATCACGGTCAGACAGAAAAGAGCCTGTACCGCTACCGGCTTTTGTTTGCAGAGGCTACTCTGTGCCAGTGTGATGACGGAGAGCCGGTGACCGCCTGCTGCTCTCACCCTCTCCACTCTCCTCTGGAAAGCAGCCACCGTCCCGACGGCGCGGTTTTGCGCCAAAGTACCCGGCCGGAGGCACAGCCCGTGTCCCCGCGGTGCCCAGCAGAGCTCGGCAACCCCGGGGCGATACAGACACGACTTTCTGTGGTGATGCTGAGCTGGGTGTCCCCTCTGTGCGGGAAATGCCCTGGTGTTACCTGAGGGCTTGTTCGTGGCGGTGGGAAAGGTCCTGCTCCCGCCACCTGATCGCGCTGGTCACTTATGCGGGCACCTTCCCATATCCCGTGGGGCTGGCTGGGTAGGGAGAGGAAATGGGGAGTGTCCCCTAAGGCTGCTGGGCATGGTGCCCCATTTCCAGCTTTGAACAGGGCTCGGTATGCGACATGCGAGGCTGGCCTGGAAAGCAGCGCTGTGACTCTTAACGCCAGATATTGCTGAAGTCTCAGATCAAGGACTGAAGTCGGTTCTCTAGGGTAGGTTTGTCACTGCATACCGCTCCTGGAAAGTGGAAGATCTGGTTTAGAGGAAGGACATTGACAGAGCCGTCTGTTCCCAGTCTCCTCCCGCACCGCCGGGTGCCCGACGTTCGTATTCTTGCAAGACAAAGAGCGGCGGGCACGGTCGTGCATGGCGCTGTGCGGGGGACGGGGCACAGCAGTCGTGCTGAGTGGCCGCCGCTGAGGCCGGTAAAAGCCCTTGACATAATTTCACAGCAACTACGGTTGGCTAAGGGCCGGAGGAAAAGGGAAAAGCCCAGCCCTGATGTGCCTCCGCCCCGAGACGGCCGCGATATTTAAATAAAAAAGGAAAGAGCATCCCCGCACCAGCCGGCAGCGCTGCCCCAGCTTTCGGAGCGGGGGACCGGGCGGGTTTGCCAGCACAGCCCTGCCGGGACAACTCCCGTTTGCCCCTGCCGAGCCAAACCTTGGCCCCCCCGTGAGGACAGAAACGCGGCCCAGGGCCAGGGTGGGGGAACAGGGGCTCTGCCTCCGGCTGCCCGGTACCCCCGAGGTGCCCGAGGAAGGGATATCCAGGAGGTCCCACTGTCTGGAGGCTGCTCTTCCGGCGGTAGGCAGAGCTGCGCGTAATCTTGTACAACTACAGCATCCATAAGTGTCACAGGCACCTCAGAGGCAGCCAGGATGCCGGTTTGCCTGTGAGTCCGTACACACGCACCCGAGTATGTTTATGTGTAAACACACCCAGGGATTTACTCATAAATTAATATTCTCGAGTCACTGTGATCCTTTTTTTCCCCATGGTTTTCGTGATAAAAGCATAGGGATGAAGGCCATTCCTCTCCTTCCTGACCCTGAGAGACAGGGCTGTTACTTAGTGAAAAGCATGTGGAAAAGCCAAAGGTTACCGAACGTATACAGGACCGATGTCTTAGGAAACATCCGCAAAAGTCTGCGTGGCGCCGAGCTGTTCCTGCTCTCCGGGGAGCAGCAGGGTGAAGAAACAGGGGCTGCTTCCCTCCCTCCCCGTCCTCCAGCATCAAATATCCCCCGGAATCCAATTCATGGAGCTGTATTCTGATGTGAGCTCTCTCTGAGTCAGGCTTTGTAAAGACAGCCATTGTAACACTTAAATCAGGTTCCCTTCACCTCTAGGCAGGCAACCTAATATTGACTTTTCATTTCAGCCTAGGCTTTAATTGTTTGGGGTTTTTAAATATACAGTGGGAGTACCCTTCTCCAAGCATTTCCACAGACTGTCTCTATCCGTTCTGACAGCTTGATAGATTCCAGCCAGACCCTGAATCTCTTCCAGGGATGAAATTGTGCAGCGACAGGAGAAGCCAAAGCACGCAGGCAGAGAGCCCATCCCGCAGAGCTCCCCTCCTCATCCTCAGAGGACTTCTCTGCTGTGCTCAGCTCAGCTCAAGGCAAAAAAAGAATTATGTGAATTTGTTGCATTTTCCTGAAGAGCTTATGTACTTGGGGGGGGGGGGGTGTTCATTTATTTCAAAATCAGCTCTGTGTTTACAGAAGAATTGCAGCTGTAAAACAAGGCACTTAATTTCTGTAAATATTCTCCTCGATGGGCACAGTGATAGTGCGGTAACAGCAACGACACAGCTGCAGCTTGTTTCGTAGGTGGATGCCAAAGACCTCGGGAGCAGCAAGTGCCATCAGTGCCGGGACAGGAGCGGGGAGCCGGGTGCGGCGGGGAAAAGGCGCCATGCCCGCTCCCGCGGCGGATGCCCTCGGTTCGGGAGTCGGGAGGTGCAAACGGTGGTGGTTTCGCCTGTTGGGCTCCCGCCGAATCCAGCGCTTGATCTGAGGAGAGGCAGGGGAAATAAATCACTGGCACGGAAGAAAGAAAGGGATGAAAAAATGGTAGCTGCTGGAAGGAAGGTCTCTCAGTGCAGGGGCACCAGGGAGCAGGGCAGAGCTTGCTGGCTGGCTGGTAACAGTGTAAATGGAGAAAGAGATCGGTTCTGCCAGCGAGTAGGAGAAAGGGCTATAAGAGAGCTGACTTCCTAATGAGCGCATATAATGTTGTTAAGGGTTTCAGCGTTTTATGCTGAAGATACGACTTTTCAAGACACGACTATCAGCAAGAAGAAAAAAATAGAACTTTAGCAAAAATGCAGCCATCGGAAACTGTTCGTTACACTCTGGTAAACATTCCCTCATGGTAAAATTGTTGGTGGGGGCGGGAAGCAGAGCAAGAAAACGCATCGTCTAGTATGTGCAGCTCTCTAATTAATGAATTTGACAAACTGAAAGGTCTTTCTCTGGTCCCTGTGACTTGACTTCCTTCTTTTTTTCTTTTCTTTTCTTTTTATTTTTCGTTTTTTCTTTTTTCCTTTTTGTTTTTTCTTTTTTCTTTTATCTTTTTTTTTTACCCCAATAAAGATACTAGATTTGATTTATATATGCTGAATACAGCAGGTTAAACACAGACAATCTAGGGTTTATCAAGTACATCACGAAGAACAGCTCTTTTTCTTCTGTTTATTTTGCCATTGTATATTCCGACGCTGCAATATGCATCATTTTTTACAGATTTGGAGTTATAAGACCAAAGAAACTTGTAGGTGCCATCTGTCAAAAACAATTTTTCATAACAGCCTGCAGATGTATTGTTGTTCCTTCTATTCATTGTTTGTGCCATTAAAATCTAAATAAAATCTAAATAAAATTATTCAGTATTTTTTTGCCCAATAGCCTGTGGACCGTTGCCCTCAGCTTCCTCAATGTCATCATCTTTCAGTCTAAATATTCAAATATGCATTTAGGAGAAGAAGACAGATTAACCTCAAAGTTTCTGTCTCACTCTGTGTCTCTCACACGGTAAAACAAGGGCACACTTCGGGCACAGACTTACAGAAGGATTAGCTCTTCCACAGCTAGGAGGGAAAAATCTTATTTATTTTTGAATATTCGATCACAGCTTGGTATTTGGGTCTTTTTAATAAGCTGACCTCCTTAAATTATTTGTGGAATGAACACTTAAAACCGGATTTGAATCAAGCTTTGCTTGGTTATATCAGAGTGGAACTAATCCCTTCTTTTGTGTCATTGTTTTTAAAGCTGAATTAAGATGCCCGCCATATAGGTATTCTGCCTGAGAAAGGACTTGCCCCTATTTTTTCTAAATCCGCGTTCCGAGGTATCTAAAAAACAAACAAAAATATCGACTGCGCACACTGAGTTACCGCTGAGAATGGTTTTCAGCAGTCCGTGTCAGCCAGGGCAGCCCCCCGCGCTGTAGGGCTCACCCCCAGCTACAGAAACAGCTTTCCGATGAGTGTGGGATTGGACCTTCTGCAAACGCATGCCCTCACAGAAGGAACACTTGACTTCCAGTCATCCCTTCTGAGTCTCCCAGCCAGCCCCCGAGGCTGCCGCACCCCCGGGTACGGAGCTGCCACCGCCACACCAAGCTGCCCGCACCCGCTGGCACTGCGGCTTGCGGGCCAAGTCCCTGCCCTGCCCGATCTGTGGAAAACCCTGCAACTCCCGGCAACTTTTATTTGAGAAAGGACAGCCCCTTCGACAGTCTGGGTGCCCCGCAGCCGATGTGCTGAGATTTTCTAGTACTTAACCTTGCAAAGAAAAAAGTATTTTTTTCGAATTTGGGGAAATCAAAAATACGCTTGTCACCTGGGAAGAGCTCCCAGGAGAGGAAATATCTGGATTTTCATCACAGCCCACCTGAAGCTGTCACCCCGCCCCGTTGTGCCAGGGGTCAAAGCGAGCCCCGCTCTCCGTGTCTCTCAACTCCAATAAATATCAACCTTATCGGCGCTCCCCCGCAGTCTGTCCGCGGGAGGAGAAGTCGGCCCGGAGCTGCGGGGTGCGCAGCGCAGCCGCGCACATTGTGCGGAGAGACTGCGGGATGCTCTCAGGGGGCAGGCTGCGGTATCCCTGTCCTGCGGCCCCGCCGGGCCGGCCCCAGAGGCAGCTTGTGTTGGAAGCCATTTGAACCTGGGACGAGAAGACAGCAGTTTCTCAAATTCCCTTTGGTAGCCCGCAAAACCGGGTGGAAAAGATGTGCATGAGATATATATGTGTGTTTCTCATATACGAAATGTGTCCGGGGCAATAGAGACACGGAATTATATAACGGGACAGGGATAAATTTTCTCTCTTCGGTTGTATAGTTTTTCTTTACTTATATAGATCCAGAAATTCCCTCTGAGTTTCTGGCTTGGGGAGAAACCGTTCGTTACCAGATAGAGCAAGGCAGCGAAGCCTGCCCTTCTGAAAGCATCTCTCAAGCGTGATCCGGCGAAGATGCAACTAATTAACTCGCTTCTCTGTTTTCCGCTCATTTCTCTCCTGTAATGTCAGAGGCTTGTTGGGAAGGGGGTGGGTTTCTCCTCGGGCCAGGCTCTGCCGCGCTCACCAGGAGCCGCAACTCCCTCCAGCCTGCCGGGTTGCTTCAAGGTTACCCGATACCTTCGCGAAGTCGTGCAGAAAATCCAGCTCCCGAGGTCCCACAGGACCGAGTCAAGCAAGAAAATTAGTGTTCCTCGTTTTATTTGAGTTAATAAAAGCGACACAACTGCTGCAATAGTGGGAGGCTCGGGTTGAAGGTGGAGGAGCTGCTCTCCAGGGGATAATGCAGGTTTTTGAGTGAAAACCTGGAGGAATAGTGAGAAAGGTGGGCAAAGCCCCTGTGCAAGCCTGGAGTAGCAAAGGAGCATCCCTGCTGTTTTGCAGGGGGGTGGGCTGCAAGCCACTTCCATTTCACAGCAGTATAATTTCCTCTGGAAGGGCCGAGAGCTCAGTGCAAAAATCTACACCCTCGAGGCAGACTGGCTTTCTCCTTCTCTTCTCAACAAGGCATTCTCCATCATTTATTATCAGTCCTGCCAAACTGGAGAGGTCCCAGACAACTGAGGGTTGACCAATGTGATGCCCATCTACAATAAGGATCATAAGGAGGATCTGGGGAACTACAGGCCTTTTAGCCTGGCCTCATTCCAGGGAAGGTTATGAAACAGATTATCTTGAGTGCCATCACTTGGCGCGTACAGGACAACCAGGACATCAGACCCAGTCAGCACAGGTTTAGGAAAGGCAGGCCAAGCTTGACCAACCTGATCTCCTTCTATGACCAGGTGACCCATCTACTCGATGAGGGAAAGGTTGTCAATGTTGCCTACCTGAACATCAGTAAAGATTTCAATACTGTCTCTCACAGCATTCTCCTGGAGGATCTGGCAGCCAGTGGCTTAGACAGGTGCTTTGATGGGTTAAGAACTGTCTGGCTGGCTGGGCACAGGGAGTGGTGGTGAATGGTGTTGATCCAGTTGGTGGCCAGTGAGTAGTGGGGTTTCCCCAAGGCTCAGTTTTGGGGCCAGTCCTGTTTAATATTTTTGTCAATTGTTTGTACAATGGGATCAAGTGTGCCTTCAGTAAGTTTGTGGATGACCCTAAGCTGGGTGAGAGTGTTGATCTGGTGGAGTGTAGGAACACTCTGCAGAAAGATCTGGAAAGGCTGGATTGATGGGTCAAGAGCAACTCTATGGAGTGCAATAAGGCAAAGTGCTGGGCCCTGTACTTGGGTCACAAAAACCCCAAGCAACACCAGAGCCTGGGGGCAGAGTGACTGGAAAGCTGCCCAGTGGGAAAGGATGCAGGTGCTGGTCAACAGCTGGATGAACACGAGCCAGCATGTGCCCAGGTGGCCAAGAAGGTCAAAGGCATCCTGGCCTCTATCAGCAATAGTGTGGCCAGCAGGACTGGGAAAGTGATTGTCCCCCTGTACTCGGCACCGGTGTGGCCACATCTCAAGTCTATGTTCAGTTCTGGACCCTTCATTACAAGAAGGACATTGAGGTGTTGGGGTGTGTCCAGAGAAGAGCAACAGAGCTGGTGAAGGATCTAGAGAGTAAATAATGAGGAGAGGTTGATGTTCAGCCTGGAAAAAAAAAAAAAAAAAAAAAAAAGGAGGTTTAGGAGAGACCTTATCACTCTTTACAACTGTCTGAAAGGTGGTAGAAGTAAGGTGGGGGTTGGTCTCTTCTCCAGGCAACTAATGACATGATAAAGGGAAATGGCCTCAAGCTGCTCTAGAAGAGGTTGAGGTTGGACAACAAAAAGAGTTTTTTCATTGAAAGGGTGGTTAAGCATTGGAACAGACTGCCCAGGGAAGTGGTGGAGACATCATCTCTGGAACTGTTCAAAAAACAACAGGGTGTGGCAGTTTGTGCTAGGTTTTGTTGACATGGTGATGTTTGGTCAAAGGATGGACTCAATGATCTTGGAGGTCTTTTCCAATCTTAACGATTCTATGCAAAGTTGTTTAGGGTGCAGAGAGGCACCCAGGAATGCGGGTAGGATAGAGAGGTCTCCTGTCCTGGCTGGGCAGCAGCTGTGGTCAGCCTCCTGACTTCTCAGGAAGCTTTCATTATCTATAACTGCTTAATGCTTGTTTAACTTAATGTTTGGGAAGAGGTGAGAGAGAGGCAAACTCTCCCTGTGAGGTGCAGGCTACCTAAGAGACCCTCAGTCCCAGAACAGGTCCCCCGTGGAGTGACCCTGGCAACTTGGTCTTTCCCAGAGGCAAAGCTCTCCCTGATGGGACACATGTCCCATGTGAATGGGTGTCTGGCCTGCAGGTTGATCTGTGTGACTCCCAGGGTTTGAAGGACAGCCTGAGTAACCATCTCAGCCTGGGCAGGGTGAGCTGCCCAGGATCCAGACCCACAGGAAAAGTCCTGAGCCATTGGAGTGGAGGATGCATTTCAAGCTGACCAGAGGAGAAAAAAATAATCAAAACAACAAGCATTGATATGATACTCCATCCTGCGTATGCTCCTGCTGCATGTTTTACTGAGAGGAGGTGGAGTTAAATGCCAGTGTCTGTGACCCAGAAAGGAAAACCCTTTGAAATAACAGGCTACTATGCTGATTTTTAAAAATTATTTTAAGCAAAGGTCAGTAGGAGGTGGCTGAACTATCTATCCTCATCAAGAGGTTGTCACAACAGACCTGATGGTTTTAATAACACTTCTGTCCCTTCATATTTATCCTCATGCTGTAAACCAAACCCTCAATATTCTAAGATCTCTTTCCCCCATCTAATGAAATTATCCTGAATGTCTTTGACATAAAATATTAAATGGTTGCTTCTGCAGGAGTCTGCTTTTTGTGTGGAAGTGGAAGTGTCTGTGATAGTGCTTCAAATAAAAAATTCTCCCATATAAATCCTTTCCCCCTGACACTGTCATTCAAAACAACAGGATCCTTATATTCAGATACATGCATTACTGAGCAACTGAACTTTCATTTCATATGTATAAATTTTATTTGTGGCTACTTGCTGCTGGTTTGACACATGGAGTCACATCCAGGGTTACCACTCCTCCAATCCACCTCGCTTGTTGCAAAATACAGCCTAAAAGACCACCATTATTGGGAAAAATATCGGACAACTGTCACATTACCTAACTTAGTGAAATCATAACAAAGGCTTCCATTAGAAGTGACATAACATAAGCTGGAAGGGGTTTTCAATTCCACTTACACTTCTTTTCCTT